GCCCCGCTCCCTGCGCCCTGCGCCCTGCGCCCTGGGCCCTGCGCTCTGCTGTGAGCCAGGCGCCTGCCTCGGGTCTCACCTTTACCTCCCAGTCCCTCCTTTGCAGGTGGCGCGAGCGATCCTGATGGAAGAAGGCAGCAGCCCCAGGTGATGGGACCGTGTCTCCAAGGGCACCGGTGGGCGTGGCTTTGGGTGACCCCTGTTAGCACGAGGGTGAGTGTGGCCCTGGACCCGGGCACCTGGGAAGGCCAGCGGTGCCAGTGAGTTCTTTCTGGCTCTTCGTGGTGCCTGAAGGTTCCAGACCTGTGGCACCCCCGCCCCCCCCATCTGATGGGGCCTGGGTCTGTGATGGAGGCTTGGCCACCAGCCCGCCAGTGGATGTCAGGGTGAAGCTGAGCTCCCTGCCTGGAGAGGAGAGGATTCCAGAGAGAAAAGCCTGAGAGGCCGATGGCAGCTCCCCTGGAAGTGGGGGGGGGGGGGAGGTGGGGAGGAGTGGCCACCTGTTACCCCCAAGCCGGGGAGGAGGAGGAGGAAGAAAGGAGGAGCACCAGCCCTGCCCACCTCTGGAGCCGCTGATGCAGATGAATCAGCAATAAGGCCAAGGCCGCCTGCTGGTGCCCACAGGCTGACTGCACGCAGACTGCACAGTGATTTCCAAAAGGCCTAATTATTTGCCAACCTCTTCAATGACAGCAATTCCCATCCAGGTCACTGGCTTCTCTCTGCCGTGCCAGGCAGCGTCCTCCCAGGCCTGTGGCCGCCCTCCTCCCCTCCGTAGTCCCACCAGCTGCCCTCCCCTCCCGTGGGCTGACCAGTCTCTCAGCACGTGGCTTTGCAGCCCCTGACCAAGGCGATAGGGGCGCCCAGGTGACCGTCTGAGTGAATTTAATGCCAGAGGGGAACCTGAGGGACACCCAGGGGCAGGGGCCTGTCCTGCCCATGTAGGAGGTGACCAGGGTCCTGTGCTTAGAGGGGAGGACATGTCCCTCAATTTGACCCCCTCCAGCAGCCCGGCCTGCGCTGGCAGGGTCCGCACCTGCTGCCCCAAGTGCTGTCGTGTCCTGTCCACGTGGTGACCTGTGCATCGGCCCCCCTGCCCATCTCGGTGTTTCCCTCAGCAGCGCAGCAGCTGGTCGCCCCTCCAAGCCCTCCGGTCCTGGTCCTGGGCTGTGCGTGTCTGTGTCCCAGTTCCCATGCCCAGGAGGTACCCAGCCCTTCATGCCAGCAGGGTCCTCCCCGCCCACCTGGAGGAAGGCATGGCGCCTGGGCATGTCCTCACAGCCCCACTGGACTGTCCCAGCCCCACTCGGGACACAGACTCGGAGCAGCGTGCAGGTGGCCCCTTGGGCTGCAGGGACCTCCCTGGGACAGACAAGCTCACTTGGGATGGGGTCAGGGTGGGCACGGAGCAGGAGAGGCGGCCTGTCCTCCCTGGGGTCCCCTGGGCTCCGGGGCCTGGCCAGGTTGAGCAGCTTCCGGAGGTGCCTGGGCTGGGAGGCCCCGTGTAACTGACTCCTCCCTGTAGTGCATCGGCCCCTCTGCCCATCTCGGTGTTTCCCTCAGCAGCGATCTCCACTGCCCGCCCCTCCAAGCCTCCTCCTGGGCTGTGTATGTCTGTGTCCCAGTTCCCATGCCCAGGAGGTACCCAGCCCTTCATGCCAGCAGGGTCCTCCCCGCCCACCTGGAGGAAGGCATGGCGCCTGGGCATGTCCTCACAGCCCCACTGGACTGTCCCAGCCCCACTCGGGACACAGACTCGGAGCAGCGTGCAGGTGGCCCCTTGGGCTGCAGGGACCTCCCTGGGACAGACAAGCTCACTTGGGATGGGGTCAGGGTGGGCACGGAGCAGGAGAGGCGGCCTGTCCTCCCTGGGGTCCCCTGGGCTCCGGGGCCTGGCCGGGTTGAGCAGCTTCCGGAGGTGCCTGGGCTGGGAGGCCCTGTGTAACTGACTCCTCCCTGTAGCGTTCAGGCCCCTCTCCTGTGCACTGTCACCTGGGATTCCCAGTAAAGTGAACTGAGTGTGCTGCTGGTCTCTTTGTGCTCTGGGCAGTGGGGGAGGGGAGTGTATGAGGTTGGGCAACAGAGGCCGCCTGTCATGGCTGCCGTCCAGCCAGAACACCCTGGGACCGCCCTGTCACTGACTGACACCCAGTGTCCTTTCTGCCTTAGTGATGTGCCCCCAGCAGCCCCCTGCCCTGACCCACCCCCTTGAATTGTGCCAGGCCTCAGCTTCCACCTGCTCTGCCCCCTCCCCCAGCTCCTCCTGCCCTGTCTTGTCTTGCCAGGTCCCAGGCCTCCATCATCTTTAGGTCCCTGCCACCAGACCCCCTTGGCTGGCCCCACCCAACTACAGGTTCTGGGGCCCCAGCCCTCACCCCTAATCCAGGCTCCGAGACCTCCTCCCTCCCCACAACTTGCTGTGTCCCTGCCCCATTCACTAGCTTTCAGGCCAGTCTCCACCCCAGTATACCTGACCGGACCCCGGCCTGTTCACACCCGGCCTGTTCACACCTGGCCTGTTCACACCCGGCCTGTTCACACCCGCACCCAGCCCAGCTCCCTGCCCTCCCCTCACTCACCCGGGGCCCAGCTCTGCGCTCAGCCCACACCACCCTCCTTGGTGCTCACCCTGGCGCTCAGCTGGGCCCTCCGCGCGCTCGGAACCCTGTAACCTCTGCCCAGCTCCCAGCTCCCGTGCTGATCTTCAAGGCTCTGCCCTGGACCCCAGACCAAAAGGCCTGCCCTCCTACCTGGGTCCCTGCCCCAGACCCACACACAGCCACAGGGCTGCCAGCGGGTCTGGTTAGGACTGGTCTGATGTCTGATGGAGTCACTCCCCTTTCCAAACCCTTTAAAGCAGCGGTTCTCAACCTGTGGGTCGCAACCCCTTTGGGGGTCGAATGACCCTTTCACAGGGGTTGCCTAAGACCATCGGAAAACACATATATGATTACATATTGTTTTTGTGATTAATCACTATGCTTTAATTATGTTCAGTTTGTAACAATGAAATTGGGGGTCACCACAACATGAGGAACTGTATTAAAGGGTCGCGGCATTAGGAAGGTTGAGAACCACTGCTCTAAAGGCTTCCTCCATACCCACAGGCCCCAGGAGTGCCCTCCCAGGGTATCTGCAGGGGTCTGTCCTTCACTTCCCGTGGGTCTTCCTTCAAAGGTCACCTTCCCAGGGGCCTCCCTGACACCTTGTTAAAAAGCTCACCTCCCCGCCGTCCCCACCTCGTTTTCAGAGCTCTGATGGCCGCCCGATACACTTGTTTCTTTCTAAGTAGCCACCGAATGTATTTGTCAAGCGGGTAGGAGAGGGAATTGACAGGCATTTTGCAGGCAAAGTGCAGACGGGGAGGGCGGGTGCCCAAAGGTTGGAAACGCAGCTGTGCCGCCGGGCCCAGGGGATGCTGCTGCCGGAGCCGAGGCCGCTGGGCGCGGAGGTTCAAG